TTCTTTAGAAAAAGACACCTCTTAAATGCTGAGATGGAGGAGACCTTTTACCTGCCTCTAATTATGACCCTGGTTTAAAACTTTGTATATGCCTTGTGATTTGTTGAGTCCTATCTCATGCAATAAATGAGTGAATGTCATGCTTACAGACCATGGTAATTGACCAACATGTTGTCTAGTAATCCACCTTGGAAACAGAATGAATGCACACTTGGTGTTGTGCAGTTCAAAGTCTTTGTTCTGTTGAAATACAAACAATTTATAAATCAATCCATCACTTAATTAATGATTAATCAAAAATACATGGATGAATTAATACAGTTGATAGATAGATAATTTGTAACACCGTATGGTATGTAAAAATGAAACTGACGTTTCGGACGTTAGTCCTTCATCGGAGTAAAACCAATGAATTAATAGATAATGAATGAATTCATATGTCAAAAAAATAAATATTAAAAATAGTGAAGGAATGGATACGACCAAATTTGACCCTTGAGAAAGAACCTAAATAGAACAAACAATTTCATTGGTTCACAATCCAAAATACATCCACATATGTGATTGGCTAAAAATCACATTATTCAAATCTAAATTCAATAGGTTCTCTAGTAGGTAAAAGAAAACCAGATTTGGGCTCGCTGTGTTTTAGAAACAGCCATAGCTCTCCCTTCCCCTCTTGTTTTCTTGTTGATAAAATCTTCACCCGATCCCTCCCTTCCCCTACTTTATCCTTTTATCGTTCCTAACAGCCCAATACTTCTTTTAAAATGATAATCTACATAGATAAATCAAAGAAAAAGCACTAGAAAGCACAAAAATTGAGTAAAATCACAATATTATAGCTTTAAGCAAATAGAGTTCAGCTTGAGTACAAACCTTGGCAAGTTGACATGATCAACACCAATGGTTGGTTTTGTGATCTCTGTTCTCATTTCGCTCGAAACTCCGTTACAAATTCCTTCTACATTCATATTTTGATCTGAGTTTTCCTCCATATTGTTAGAATAAGTCTTTTCTTCCATCATTTCATTATCTTCTTCCATGTTTTGATCATGCGATCGCGACGCGTTCAAGGCTTCGGCATCTGAATTCACGGAAAAATTATTTTGCCCCAGACTTTGTCCTTCAATCTCGCTGTAACTCCCATTAAAACGCTGCCTTTTCTTAAAAAAAAAAAGATTAAAATATTAAAATAAAAAACCTCAGCCAGCTGAAGTCCAAGTTAAGTATAATTTTTAACTCAACAAATCAATAAAAACAATGCTACATTTGATATTCGCGCCTTTGTCTGTTGGTTCGAAGTTTTTTTTAGAGCGGGAAAAGTTTTCGAAATCTTTAATAAAAAAAACATCCAATCTTACCTCAGATTTTGGAGTAAATACGCCATTTTCGTAGACTAAAGGCATGTAAGATTCTTCTGTGTCTAATTTTCTCTTGGTATAACAAGGMAAATCTTGCATTTGGTGTGTTTGTTGTTCGCTTGAAGTCGCCATGTGTTCGAGACTGACTTTCGATCAAAAGCCAAAGCAAAATTCCAAGATCTTCACTTCAAAATTTCGCTCCCAAGTCAAATCTAGATTCCAATGGACTGTACGACTACAATTCCAAGTCTTAGGCCCAAGGAAAAGGAAAGGAATTGAAAAATTCTAAGACAGACGGTTTTCGCGTGATTTTTGCTAAAAACGGCTTTCAAAACAATAATCATTGTTGCTCCTGGGGCATTAATTAATATTCATTTCCGGTTAAGTTTACTTCCGGTAAAGATAAGGTAGCTCGTCACCATCATTAATATCTCATTCTTACCATGCATCATATACTTACTGAGATTACATTCGTTTTAAAATCTAGTTAATATTGCTAACCTTTTTTGAGCGTATCAAAGTAAGTTTTCTTCTTACAACTAAATCCAAAATGGCGCACTGCCGCTTGAAAACGAGGCATCCATGGCCAAATTTACAGTATTTCCTTATAAATTGATAAAGTGATGCTTTAAAATTGTCGCGTTCCTGAATGTAAGAAGAAAAAGGAAGACAGAACAAGTGAACAAGTGTATACTTTGCATTGACACCATATTATTTCTTTGCATTTGGCCCTGGGTGTCTCGTTTTCATGTGACACATTCGGCCGTGCGCCATTTTGGACTTAGCTTTCATGACGCATCCCACATGGAAAGAAGTGAGTATGCATTCAAAGCCATTAACATCACAATTAAGAATATTGAGTTTGCTGGTCATAGCAAATGGTTAATCATCTACGGTTGGGCCGACTAACCTCTCCCTTAGGCTTCTGCGCATGCCGAGCTTCCTGGTCAGTCTGTAAATCTTCGGATAGCGGTGTCGGGGCCGAAATCTCCGGCGTAGCCGYAAATGCTTCGCGCTGCCATACGACGGTTCAGCACTCGATGTCTGGAAGTATGGTCCTTTTTTTAATGAACCAAAAAGCAAAAAATCCTAAAATCGTATTTGCATAGCATGTGTGATAGGTCATTCCCAGACGGAAATGGTTTTGTCAACTACGAATTACAAGAGAAAAAGCAGTTTTTAACTTTTCCTCTCCCTACTCCTCGACCACACGGCTCCAATATCCGCAAGTCTTTTTTCTTCATTCGGTGACCGCTGTGTTTTATGACTACAGACTCATTTGTACAGGCTAAGCCTCGCTTTAGAGCAAATCATTAAAATTTGCAAGAGACAATTGTGTAAAGAATGTGCAAAGAATGGACTCTCAATGGTATCTGTGAATAGCTGACTTATTGACGTCAGGCTAAGCCTGCACAAATGAGTCTGTGGTCGTCAAAAACAGCGGTATGCATCGGATGCGAAACTGGTGTATTAAAACACGTCTTCAGTGAGTCTGTCAAAAGGAAAAGTGGAACTGCTCGCAGTCTATTTGTTAGTGGTTCAATTTCCCATTTCCCGGCACTTGCTTAATTTCTGGTCCTAGCGATGAGATGTAATTTTATTTCCCAGGTCTCATGATATTTTACTTAAAAAGTGGTCCTAACGATTAACCTTGGAGAAACCCAATATTGGTGCATCGATTAATTCTCTTTATTGACAAATCTGTGTGTGTATTCAGAACCCTAATGGAAGACCATTACAAACTGATTTAGCAAAATTAATATTTTGTAGTCAAGCTTGGTTTATTTATGTTGTGTGTGTCCTATAAGCTGTTCTATTTGTTATATTGTTTTATGGTATATGGCAAAAAATAAGATAGTTATTCAATGCTTTTATTTGATACAATTCTGTGGATCTGGAATAACTCATTGTTATACGACTAGTTCTCATACACGAAGCACCTTAAGAGAAAAAATGCACCATGGAAAATCCCAGGCCGCAAGGTCTGTTTGTGGCAAGGATAACTCGAGTGTCTTGTGGCCTATTCAATAGCAGACATATTATGATTCTATCTTATAGCTAAGTATCTTACCATATATTAAAGTAAATATTCTAGAATGCTGTAAAAATGTCATGGTACATCTCAATTCATTCGTTCAGAAGTCATTTTTTCACTGATGCAAACGCCAAGTAACACAAAGCACTCAAAAAAATCGGCCCAAGACAAACAAAAATTCTCATCCATGTAGACACCTGAGGCTTGCCTTTTTTCTTTTTCTCTTCTAGATACTCATGAGTATTTTTCAGACCTTCTACTAGTGTTTCTACCGTGTTTAGCGTCTCTACACTGTCATCTTCACTATCTTCATTATCGTTTTTCTCCTCTAAATAATTCTGGGTACTTTGGTGTAGCATAACGAGCGCCGCCATTTTGTTATGGATGTCTGCTTCGTCTTCCGGTTGTTTCTTTTCTTCTTCTTTGATTCGTTCTTCAATAATTTTTTGTAATTCTTTTACTTTTAGAGCGAGGTCCTTGTCTGAGAAGACATCGCTTGGAATTGAGGAGGCATCCATGTTATCAGGGTCTGAAAGTATTTAAGGGTTTAAATATAGTTATTGTCATGCTTGCGCAAATGCTGTTACTAACCAATCACAGCACAGATAATTCGACGAGCCATTCGTAATAGACACACCTTCGAAACGAGTGAAAAACGTCTGCGCATGCTCTGAATCCGTATGCAAATTAGTCAAAACTTTTGAAAATTTGACTTTCAAACATGCGTGATAAATATGGACTTCACAAAATGCCAAAACTTAGTGTCCATGCTTGAAACTTAAGGCTAATTCTTTCACATTGTGTTTGTTAATACAGCACCGTTGTCTGACAAAAGTATACTCGCGTATTTTTTTGTATGCTCGGAGAAAACAAACATTTCTTTTCTCACTGAAACTCTTCTAAATTCTTAGAAAACGTGCTGAAATGCACGCATGCGCAAACGATTTTCTCTAGTGTCCACACCATCCAGTCTACTCCATTCCTTATGAAGACTAGCAGGTTGCAGTCGAATCGTCGCGGTCCTCACAAATGACCCTTAATCGTGAGACAGACGAATAAGTATCATTCATTAGACTAAGAGTCAAATCGCATGCAGAAGGGAAATCCATTACAATATAGTCCCGGGAATATAGTCAAATCTAACTAGTGGTTTCTTGTATCACTTTCAATGCTGCGTATTAATGGGTTGAACTATATCCTACTAGTAGCGAAAGGAGCCGCTTTGAAAACCAAAACTTTAAATTTTAAAACTTTAATTCAAAACTTGTTTACATCTATATATTTGACCGACTAGTTGGATTTGACTAAAACAATTAGTCCTCTCGCTCGTATGGGCTATGAGTCAATAGCTCATTCGTGCTCGAGGACTTATTGCTAAAAGACGTGGCGTGTTATACCTGTTTTCACTTCATCGTCGTCCTTATTTTCCAGCATCTTGACTTTCTTTGCCAGTAGCGCGTTTGTTGTCCGCTCGTGAAGCAGCTGGTTAGAAAGTTTTTCAACTTCTTTATGAAGTTTTTGGTTGAGTGCACGTTCTGCGTCGCGCTCTTTTCGCAGCTGGTTTGCTCTGCCTTCAATGTCGATGGACGCTGCCTCATATTCTGATAATCTTCTTGATAGCCTCTTTGCACAGTCTTCTGGGGTCTCGTTCGCTTCTAAAGGGATCGATTCATCGCCTTTTTGTTGGTTTGACGCCATGATGTTACCTGATCAAAAGTATTGAGATAATTGGTCTTATTAGAGCCCTCTCTGGTTTACAGATAATGCCTAAAAACACGCCCGCAAACGCGTAGAAACACTCCGCATCAATGAAATTCAATATGGCTGCTCTTCGTTCCAGCAACAACTTCGTTATGACGCCTTGATAAAAGTGGAACACGCCTGACGTTGAACTACAATTTGAGGTTTGCAGCAAGGAATAACGCCAAAGGTCTCTATTTTCAATTTGTCCGTGACAGAAACGAATGGGAAACTGGGTACTAATCGGCCGCTCAGAGACTGGGCAAAGCAATAATGGGTAGAGRTGCTGTCCATTATATCTTCAATTTTTTCCATCGGTTTGAAACCGCTATAAAATATTGGTTTAACTTTGTAGGAATGCATATCATAAGTACTTCTGAAGGAATGCATATAATAAGTACTTCTGAATTATTTCTTTTTACATACATTCAGAATTAACAGCTATCTCAATCTGAAAAATTTATTTTTGCTTTGAAATGATTCTTCTGAACCATCTGCATCCGTGTTTTTCTCTAGCGAAGGAAGCCGAAATGGTCATATTTCTATTTTTAAAACGGCTAAATTATAATCGCGGAAGTTATATTTTTTTCGCAAAATTTGAAGACAAAATTAAGTATGAGGATGTTCTTCGTGTTATGTAGTTGTTTATTATTCCCGCTCGTAACTGAAGAACATGCTATATGTGGATTGAGCGTTGTTATCGATAACCTGTGTTTACGTGGAGCGAGCCGCTTACGGGAAGTAATAGCGATATATACTATTTCAAAGACTAAACATGATAGATGATTTGAGAAGCTTTTTTTAACTGCCGAAAATGCCGAGAAAATATAATCATGTATAAGATACAGACCGGCGCACTTACCTTCTGTGTGACGGATAAGATCGAGAAAAACCTGACTAAGAGATAGAAGTCTTAAGGGATGACTAACGTTTTCAGGGAACCGAAGAAAATCGAATAGCTTGATAGATAGCCCTTCGGTAAAATTTACAGACACCACCGATGCATATATGTAAATCAAGGAAGCTGTTGTCTAAGAAGAGTGCTTACTGATGTACTTAAACTACTGGGTTATGCGCTACATACGTCACACCCTTGTTCTTGCAGGTGGTTTGTTGCAGAGTGAGTACCTGTTGATGAGAAACGCTACTGGTATTGGCGTTTAAAACATCTTAGCACTGACCATCTGCTGGAGAGAGAGAGAGAGAGACAGCGGATAAAGAGAAAAAGAAATTGAATAAATATAAGAGAAGAACAAAAGTAAAGATAAGTCTGAAAATGTAGCGGAATCATAAGTACATTTGCTTGTATTTGGAAACTTGAATACGTTTAAAATACAATGTTTGAGATATATTYGTCTTTTCCATTGAGCGACACATTTTGATCGATTTTGTTTGACTGAATTCCTCAACCCGCGTAAACAAGACAAATAACATAAAGAAAAGCATTTTCACACAACTCTTTTTATTGTCACGATTATATGCTCAATTCGGATCACCCTAAGAAGAATACCTAAATAACTTACTTCTCCTACGAAGATTAATAGCAGTATTTTTGACATTTTTTCACACACAGCATCAAAAATAGTAATTCAATACCTGCTGTTGTATCTTTGTCTACACACATTGGTTAAAACTAAAATAGCCTTATTTAAAATATATTCACTGGTTTACCAGAAAGAATACCTTTGACAAGAAGCTTGATCAAAATATCCCCAACGCCATCTTGCTTAGTAGCCTGGCCGCTTTATCAAAAACTAGCGGCCATTTTGTCGACAAATGCAAACTTTCAAACTTCTTTTACAAAAAACATTTTGGTTCTACAAATTTTTGCCTTTCTATGTTAAAGTTAAAGAAGGAGAAAAGGAAAACAGTTCCATATATGAAGGTTTATTTTCTCGTGAAAAACAACCTTTCCAGTACAAATACGACCCGGACGGGGACATATTATTTAGTTGTTTTGGCGTGTAAAAGGGTAGCTGGAGAGGAGTTGTCGTTCAACTGAACGAAAGAGACGACGTGCCACCAGGTGGGTTGTGAATGCGAGAAGATGGACGGTATGGAACTTGATCATCTACTTGTTCACCTAAGAAAATAAAAGTCATAAGTTTTGAGCAAATTTTGCTTCGTTTAAGCTGTCGGCAACATCCCCCCCCCCATGTTTCTGTTGCTTGCTTGCTTTCTTTCTTTCTTTCTTTCATTCATTCTTTCTTCCTTCCTTTCATTCATTCCTTCTCTCTCTTTTTCTTTCTTCCTTTCTTTCTTTCTTTCTTTCTTTCTTTCTTTCTTTCTTTCTTTCTTTCTTTCTTTCTTTCTATCTTCTTTCTTGCGTTGACAGCAGAACTCCATAGTTTGACAACGCAGTTTCAGTTTTTTTAGTTATGTTGAATTGCCAACGAAGAGAATATTGTAGCGTATCATGTCCCGTAACGACAACAGAGACACTGTCTCGCAAAAATGTTACAGAAAAGGAAAAAAATCAAAGGGGAAAAAAATGAGAAAATATAAACAAATCAAGCGTCTATTGGCTGTTCCGAGGTTAAAGAAAAAGACTGGGTCGAGTTGGCATTTCGATGCATTGTGCGACTGTTTTGAGGGGACATATTTCCAAAATGGCATCTAATTCGTCTCCTAAAACGATACCAAAATACTGCAAATTCAACTCCACCCATTCTTTTACCCAACTTCGGAATCGCTGATCGGCCGCATTATTTCTACTAATGGTAATCAAATTCTTGCTGGGTGCAACCACGTGACCGAAAAATCCCCGAAAACAGCCGCCATCTTGGTTGATGTAACAAGAGAAACTAAATGAGGAATGCTTTATATAGTCAACCAAAATGGCGCCTATGACGTAACGTCCACACCAAGAATAGGTCCTGGGGCCTAGATTGAGGTGAACCCCAGTTACTAATGACATTCAAGACAGGAAAAACAGGTTTGACAACTAACCTGAGAGTTGAAATCCTGATTTGTGGAGATCTCTGTGAGCAGATTTCTTCTGTTCGTTTTGGTCCTGGTTTTTCCTTTGTGCAGGGGATCTGACAACGCGTGCTGTGGCTTCTTCACTAGGCGTTTCTACAGGACCTTTGTACGGCTCCCGCTCTACTTTCTGAGGGACCCATTTCTTGAAAAAATATAGAACAAAAAGTGTGACTAATAAATCTACGTTCGAGTTATTAAAATTTCAGCCAATATCGAGGCCGTTCGTAATGTTTAAAACTGCATTAACCTTTAAAAGGTCAAAGTCGGCAGATATACTGACTAGCATTTTGCTGACAAGCAAAATTTTCGTATTTTTGCCAAAAGGTAGGAAATTCGTATATGGTACATTACTTTACTCCTACCAAATAAATGTATCTGGTGATGCACGTGTTTGTACTACTTAAGCCTTGCAATCAAGTCTAGATTTTAAGATATTGAACGTGGCTTCGTAAATTTGTTTGCGTTGGGGTTCTTGTGTCATAACGGATGAGAAAGACTGGATTCGTGAGGAGTTTTTTTTTTTTTCAAGACAAACAATGTTTAATTCATGGGGGGAGGGGTTGTAATTTAGTAACTAATAAAACTACTTACCCTATCCCTAACATGTACACGGTTGTACACGTAGCTTGAGAAGGGAGGCGTCTTGATAAAACGGCCTGAACCACGTACCACATTCAGCTGAAACATCAAACAAAAGGTAAAAAGTGAAGTAACCATGGCAGCTACCGTTGCCTAGCACAAGGGCGGAGGCATTATAGTAAAGCAATAGAAGTTACCATGGTAATAGGCAGTTTGCATGATGGCGTCAATTTACTGCAACTACCAAAATGCTTTTTTTGCGAATTTTCTTTCTTATTCAAGTTTGTGTTTCCTCATGAGAATAGCAAGACAATTGGTGCTTATTAACTGAACAAAAGAAAGTGTGCAAGGGATTCTGGTAGTGGTAGTAAATGACACAATAATGGAAGTGAAGTGACCTATTCCGGTTGCCAAACACCCGTTATAATAAACGTTTACAGAACTCAAAGTTCTGCAAAACTATGTTAGTGGAAATGACGTCAAGTTTGTGACGTCTGACTTCCGGTGCCCATACCTCTCCATTTTCATAGACCACACGTCCTTGGCTGATGGTGACCAGGGGTACCCCATGACACTTCATGCCTTCAAAGATGTTGAAATCAACAGCCTGCAGCAAACAAGACACAGAAAAGTCATGAGATGCAAATAAGATGACGAGCATTGAACCGACCCAACAACCTCACTATGATTCTTAAAACAAAAGAATATCTCATTAACATATTTTGGCCACCACTCCCCATGAGGAGCTCTCGTTAGGTTCCCTCCATACGCACTACAACTACATTCTATATTTACAACATACACAACTCGATTCACTCAACTCACATGTTGCTTTTTTACGGAGGGAGGAAACCGGAGATCCCGGAGAAAAACCCTCGTGGCAAGGGAGAGAACAACACACCAAACAAACTCAACTCACATGTTGATTTTTATGGAGGGAGGAAAACCAGAGAACCTAGAGAAAAACCCTTGTGGCAAGGGAGAGAACAACACACCAAACAAACTCAACTCACATATGATCCAGTCTGAGCTAGGGCTCCAGGCCGCCGGACCACAGTGGTGAGAGGCGAGCTGTAAACCCCTACGCCACCTATGCCACCGCATCACTCCACGTACTCTTCAATGAGGTGCACTCCACACGCATTACCACTACATTCAATAATTACAAAACACAGAACTTAACTAAAACCAATATGAAGTAAACAACGAAGTCTCGATCTCGTCACATACAAACAACTTAGATGTTATCTTTACTGTGGGAATGAAACTATTTGATTGGCTGAGGTCAATTTCTGCTCTCTCCTCATTGGCTCAAGTTTTCACTCTACATTGTGATTGGGTAGCTAAATATGGCCTCAGGTTTTCCTGCTGAAACTCCATTTTTATTTCGGCGAGAGAGAAAAAAATAGTCTCCTTTTCCTTGTGAATGTCGATCCAGCGAAAGAAAAAGAGACGGAGACTTTGTCATCAGGAAGTCCCAGGTTTAATGTCCACAAAGAAAGAATTCACCTGACCTGGTGATGGGTTTTGGCGGAAATGACTCGTGTTGCGTCGGGATCCCAAACGACGATATCAGCATCTGAACCAACTGCGATCCGACCCTGGAGAAAAAGGAAAAAATAAAATGAACAAACGAGATTGAATGAGAAAAAAAGGGCCTGAGAAGGAATAAAAAGAGATGGGAAAGAAACGGCTATATCAAGGTGAGAGAAAGGGAGAAGAAAAATTGGAGGAATAGAAGGGAAGAAGTAAATAGAAGAGAAGAATGAAGGAAAGAGTGTGTAACGAAGAAAGAAGGACGATAGGAAGAAATGAAGGGAAGATGGAAATAAGGAAAGGAAGAAAGGTAGAGAGGGACGCTGCGATTGCTAGAAAGAGGGAAGGTAAGGGAAAGCAGGAGAAACGGGCTGGAGGGAGGATGGAAGAAGGGATGGATGGAAGGATGGAAGG